CCCCCCCAGCCAGACCCCTACCCCCAGAGAGGGGGGAGGTTGGCGAGCATAGCAAGCAGGGGGCACAGCCCCCTAGTACACACAAAGAGCAGCTTATTGCAATAAAAGGTAAGTCACAATTTTTGTAATAAAAGTTTGACAAAAAAATTATTTCATCCATTGCACACACTTTTTGGTGTTTAAACTTTAATATAAACTACCCCCCCCAGCCAGACCCCTACCCCCAGAGAGGGGGGAGGTTGGCGAGCATAGCAAGCAGGGGGCACAGCCCCCTAGTACACACAAAGAGCAGCTTATTGCAATAAAAGGTAAGTCACAATTTTTGTAATAAAAGTTTGACAAAAAAATTATTTCATCCATTGCACACACTTTTTGGTGTTTAAACTTTAATATAAACTACCTTAACTGTATAGGTCTAACATGTACACGTTTGTACACTTTTTTTTTTAGATTTGTTACTGTTTATAGCGGACCTTGTCATACATACAAGGTGCAGCGACTTAATGAATCCACTACATATTATTTTAAAATCCAGGCATACAATGATGCTGGAGAAGGAGAGTTTTCTGAAGTTTATACTTTCACTACAACCAAATCTCCTCCAGCATCTCTCAAAGGTGAGCATTTGTCATACCGCTCTTACAATACTGCTGTAATTCTAGTTTGTAAAAATCATAGTATCATATTTCTTCTATAAATTCACTCTGAAGCACCTTGTATTGGCCACTGTCAGAAGACAGGATACTTGGCTAGGTGAACCATTGGTCTGACCCAGATTGGCTGTTCTTACACTTGCAATTAAAAACACTCCCTCCCCTCCTCCCCCATCTAGCTCCTCTGTTGAAGACAGGCAGTGTATATGGGCTAGATACTGTGACTGTATATGGCAAGATAAGAATTCCCCTACTAGGACAAAGTATTCTGCAGGGCTACGTCTACATTGGCATGATTTTGCACAAGAACTCTTTTGCGGAAGAGTTAGCTGAGCTTCTCCAGACCCCAGAAGGCAGAGCTCTTGCTGCACAGCTGTTACCACCTAGCTCCTGAGTGAGAGGCCTGCCTGTTAGGGCTCAGAACTTTCAGCTGCAGGTGTTGCCTGCAGCCATTACCGGGGTGGCCTTAAAGCCAGGAGGCTGCCCCTAGCTGCCCCCCAAAGGGGCGATCCAAAGGGGGCTTCCTTTTTGGGGGAGCCCTTGGGGGCAGACCAAGGGCAAGGGTATGTGCTGTGATGGTACATTGTAATTGAGTGTGTTTGTGTGTGCTGGTGAGAGCAGCACACTTGGTTGTGGTGGTGGCCTGTTCAGTTTCTGGTGAGAGCAGGGAGGGCAGGCGAGGGTTCTTAGTGAGAGGAAGTTCCCTTTAGCTACCCAAGCTGAAGGTGTGTGTTTGTTCTGCTACCCACCCTCCCACCGCCAATATGTGGTTTGGCACAGATGCGGTGCCTAAGGAGGAGGCTCAGATGGCATCATGGCTGTTATGACCGGTAGGGGAATATATGGAAGTAAGATCCGGACTGGCCAGCTAAGGGGAATGAGGTTTAGACAATTATGTGCTATTCCTTTTTCTGGTTCTATTCCCAGCCTTACAAATTTTGGGAACTTTAATACCTGGCCATCAGCCCTGAGGGTGCTGTTGCTGAATGCCAGCTCAGTATCCCAGAAGACAGCAGTCATCCACGATTTAATTCTGAATGAAGGGGCTGACCTGGCTTGTATCACTGAGACCTGGCTGAGAGTGGAGGGAGGCGTCGACCTTTCCCAATTATGCCTGGCTTGGCTCTCGGTACAGCATCAGGCGCGGCTTAATGGTCGAGGAGGTGGGGTGGCGATTGTCTATTGAGATACTATCTCACTGGCTAGGGTTGTGGTCCAACAAAGTGTCAATTTCGAGTGTCTATACTTGACATTGGGTGGCCAGGATAGGTTGGGTATGCTGCTTGTGTACCGCCCACCTCGCTTTACGGAAGATGCTCTGCTCGAACTGGCTGACATGGTCTCGGACATTACATTGAGGATGCTGAGGCTTTTGGTCTTGGGACTTAAATATCTACGCCGAGGCTGTTCTGTCATGTCCGGCCCAAGATTTTATGGATACCATGACCTCCCTAGGATTATCCCAAGAGATAACTGACCCAACACACGTTGCAGGTCATACGCTCAATTTGGTTTTTTGGACTAAGGGTGATAGAGTTCTTGGGATAAGGGATGTGGCTACACTCCCTTTGTCATGGACTGATCACTACCTGGTCAAGTTTAGACTATCTGCTGACCTTCCCCTGCACAGAGGCAGAGGACCAATTAAGATGATCCGCCCTCAGAGGCTGATGGATCCGGAGGGTTTTCTGAGGTCCCTGAGGGATTGTTCAGCCATTATGGCCAATAGTCCTGTAGATACCCTAGTTGATACATGGAACACTGAGGTAGCCCGGGTAGTTGATATGATTGCTGCTAAGTGCCCTCTTCGGACCAGTTGAGCCAAGTTTGCTCCCTGGTTTTCTGGGGAGCTGATGGCAGCAAAACAGTCTGTGCGATGGCTAGAACGCCACTGGAGGAGAACTAGAGCTGAGTCTGATTGGCTGTGGGCTAGAGCTGAGTTATGAGCTTACTCTGTGGTGGTGCTGATAGCGAAGAAAAGCTACTTCTCCACCCGTATCACGTCCGCACGATGCCGTCCAGCGGAATCGTTTCGAGTAGTGCGGGGCCTGTTGCAGTCTGGCACTCATGACAAAACAGAGGAGCCTTTGGCCCCCGGCTGCAATCTGTTTGCAAAGCATTTTGCTAATAAAATCGCCTGCATCCAGTTGGATTTAGACTCTGCTTGCTGTGTAAGTGGGGCACAGAATGTGTTTGAGTGCACCACCCAGTCTTTTTTTTCTCTGGATTAGTTTCAGCTATTGCAGACTGAGAATGTGCACAGGGTGCTTGGAGTGTGACCGACCACATGCTCACTTGACCCCTGCCCTTCATGGCTTATTAAATCTAGCCGGGAAGGGATAACTGGCTGGGTCCAGGGGATTGTTAATGTGTCTTTTTAGATCTGGTATGGTTTCTGCTGCCTTGAAAGAGGCAGTGATAAAACCGTTACTCAAGAAGACCTCCCTGGACCCACATGACTTAAATAACGATTGCCCAATTGTTAATATTCCCTTCTTGGGCAAGGTACTCGAGAGGGTGGTGGCGTTGCAACTCCAAGCTTTCTTGGAAGAAACAGACTACTTTTGTTAATCTGACACAAACTTGTTGGGACTCTTTCTTCGTTTTAAATAAATTGAATTTATTTTGATTTACACTAAATCAGATAAGAATTAGTATGAAGTAAGCCAAAATAAACCACTGTTAAATTAAGTGCATCTGCAAAGGTGTTTTCAGCAGTTTAAAACAGTTTTTCAAAATACTAAGACAAGTGCAAATTGCCCATGTATATGTTGCCTAGGAGAAAAGCGAGTACATGTTAATACCCCTGAAAAGTTCACTGCTTAATGATCTACACAAGACTTTTCATATGTTGTGTTGGGGTATTTTTGCTAAGATGAGGTAACATCACACTTTCAAATGTAATTTAAAAGGAAAGCAGTTTGTACCAGCTGGCACATCACCAATGATTAAAGATTATTCAAGTGCTTGTTCACATACATTCCAATCAGGTGTGTGTGCACTGCATGCATAGTCACTGGAAAGTATTGCCCTTAGCAGCACCCATCTGGTCAGCTGTGAATTCTCCTACAGAGTAATGTTCGTGACACTCAGTATATGACCCTAATCGAACTCTCACCCTGCCCCTGATTCATTCTTGCTGCCCATGACAGTCATTGAAACTGTTTGTTTGCATCACAAGCACTCCCCTTAGCTTGCTTCTCTAGCTGTAGTTTGTTTCGGTTACTAGTTATTTTAATTTTAGTGTGTAAATAGTGTTTTATATTGTAAGGTTAGGGAGTGGGGTTCTACTCTATCCCTTTCCTCCTCTCTGCTGTGGGGCATGCCTCAGGGCCAAGGCTTTAAACCTTGTAGGACCTGTGGTAAGCCCATGTCAATGGGAGACACTCATGACATCAAGGGGAAGAGCACTTAACTGGCAGGTGTAAAATCTATAGGCCTTCTCGCGCAAGGACGAAGAAGGAGCAGGATTTCCATGTGAAACAACTTCTGATGGAGTCTGCTGTCTGTCCTCAGCCTGCCTTAGTGTGCCAGGATCCAGCACAGAGTGAATCAGTGTGTGGAGCACTCCAGCCTCAGTGCGCAACATGGTTCCAAAGAAAGACACAAAAGACCCTTGGCACTGCTGCTCCCTGGCACTGCACACAGTGCAGAGCATCCTGCACCGCTCCCATTTGCCAGTGCAATATAAGATCAAGAAGGCTGAAAGGAATAATTTTCTGGTGCCAAAGGCGCAGCAGCAGTGCATCCCATGAAGGAGCACTCAGCGCTTCAGGAGCGGAAGTTAGCGCTATTGACTTTTGTTTCCTGGAGGGGACTGTTTAGTCTGGTGCCCAGAAATTCCCAGGACACTCTGTACCAGGTGGAGGAGTTGGAGTTACCCTTCACCCTGTATACTTTTGAAGCAGCCAGGGATTTAATACAAATGATTGCCCCTCAACCTATGGCAGTCAGACAAGCCTCCAGTGCCACTACATCCAACATCATCTAGAGGCAAGCCAGCTAGGATGTGACCATCACCTTAGCCAATACAGCACCGTTCTCTGAACCACTTAATCTCAACCTCATTGAGGCACTGACATCCAGCTCCAGACCCCAGAAACAGCTCCCTAGCTTCCTCTAGCTAAGTCTCGGTCTCTGGAACTCGCAGAGTGGTACCAGTCTCCCAACTTCTGACTCGCAACACCAATCCCTGGCAAGAGGACATTGGCACTGGTCACCAGAGCAGTAAAGGTTGGTGCCAAAATGGTGGACTCAATCTAGATCAAGGTAATCCAGTTTGATACAAATTGCTTTTATTCCAGCAGTAGTGGACACAGATCTCATAGGCATGGAAGTGAGGCAGCAGTGGCATGGCCTTCACATGGGCAAATGCAGCCTCAAAGGCCCTTCTGGACTCCCTAGGCTTATCACCAGGCCCAGGGCTCTTTTTTTTTTTTAGGCACTCTGTCGGTGATCTCTGAAACCTGAGCAGTCCAGCTGGTTAAAGGTTGCCCAGTGGATCCAAAAACTGCAGCTCAAGAGCAGTCAGCCTAGGTCATCACCCAAACAATCATAGCAACAGTCCCAACACTTGACCAAGCCATCACAGCCAGAAGGACACTAGAGAGTCAAGAGGACCCCGTACTGCCTTTAGCCTCCTCATTGTCCCCAGACAAGACGTTTGCAGGAACCTTGGCCTTGGGGCCTCCTCCAATAGTTCGCCTGGCACACCGGGACCTCCTGCACAGAGTCACCTACAAGTTGGGGTTACAACTTTTGGTTGTGCCACCAACATAGGTACATCATGCTTCTGGAGTTGTCAGTGGGTAGCCTGTTTGCTTTACCACTCTATCCTGATCTGATCACATAGGACCAAGGTCACCTACACTGCCTGGACCTCCAGTCTCTACATCTCATGACTTGAAAGCTTCATGGTTAAACCTAATGGCGATCCTGTGCTCAGGACCTGTAAGAGAGGTCCTACTTAGCAGCAGGAAACCATCCACCAGAGCCACTTATTTAGCCAAGTGAAAGAGATTCACTTGCTGGTGTGCCAAACTTCACATACACCCCTTCTAGCATCCATGCCACTTATCCTGGAGTATCTGCTGCACTTAAAACAATAGTCTGGCAGTGTCATCCATTAAGGTACATCTCACTGATATCTCGGCTTTCTATCCAAGTGTGTCTGGATGTTCCATAGCACTTTATAGACTAGCAAAACACGTAGATGGTATCATGAGCTTTTGTGGGCACAGCCCACTTCTTCAGATGACCGTGGTTTTGAGTTTAGGATGTGCAGACCCAAAATAAATAGGAGAGAAGGAGAAAGGGGAGGGGGAAAAAGGAGAGGTGGGAGACAGGGAGCAGAGGGTATAGAAAATTCAGGAAGGTAGAGGGAATCACTAAGTCTCTGAAGATTGGGTAGTTAAAACGAAGCAGATAAGAATCAGTCAACTGATAGATTCCTGTCAGGACGGATACTATCAATTGACTTTGATTCTTACCTGCTTCGTTTTAACTACCCAATCTTCAGAGACTTAGTGATTCCCTCTACCTTCCTGAATTTTCTATACCTCTGTTCCCTGTCTCCCACCTCTCCTTTTTTCCTTCCCTCTCCCCCTATTTATTGTAGGTCTGCACATCCTAAACTCAAACTCCGGTCATCTGAAGAAGTGGGCTATGTCCACAAAAGCTCATGATACCATCTACGTGTTTTGCTAGTCTATAAAGTGCTACCAGACCATTTGTTTTTTTTCTTTACAGACTAACTCGGTTACCCCCTGAAGCTTCTGGATGTTCCATATTTGCTGACCTTATGGAAGGGCGTTTTCTCAAGGGCCAGAAAAGGTTTACCCACAAACTCGGTAACTTAGTCTTCTCCAGACTCATGGAGGGGGCCCCCTTTTTGAATCATTGGCAACATGTTCATTACTCTATTTGTCATGGAATGTGGCCCGCCTACTCTCCATCACAATAGCTACAAAGGCGACCAAACTGAAGGTACTAATTTCTGAGTCACCCTCCAGTCTTCCACAAGGACAAGGTTCAGCTCAGACCTCACAGCTTTTTTTCCCCCCCCCTTAAGGTAGTACCTCGATTTTATGCTACTGGAGACATTTTTCTGCCGGTCTTCTATCCCACACCCCATACCAGTACCTGGGAGCAGAGGCTTCATTCACTGGATGTTCAGTGGGCTCTGGCATTTTATATCAAGCGCAATGAGCTATTCAGGAAGTTGAACCAGCTGTTTGTGGTGGTGACAGACCACATGAAAGGACTCTTAGTCTCTTTCCAACTCATCTCTTCCTGGATCCACACTTGCTATGAGTTGGCCAAGGTCCCAGCCCCAGCTATTACAGCCAATTCTAAAAGGGTTAATGCCTCATCATCTGTGTTCCTGACCAGTACAGGAACTCTGCAGAGCAGCAACTTGGTCTTCAATGCATGCTATCACCCACCATGCCAGAGATGATGTGGCATTCAGCACAGAGGTGTTCCAGGAAGTGATTCTGTGACTCCACCCCCACCTCCAGGGTTGAGCTTGGGAGTCATCTCAATGGAATTAACCTGAATAAGCATTCCAAGAAAAATGGTTACTCACCTTCCGGTAACTAACTGTACTTTGAGATGGGCTTTTCACTTCTATTCTAGTACCTGTCCTCCTTCCCTTCTCTGAGTAGCCAGCAAGAAGGAACTGGAGGGAGAGGGGTCATATATTGAGCATCATGAAGGCACCACTGGGGGGGGCTACTAACGGAAAATCTTTCTGGTGACTGTGCATGCGGATGTATAACCCACCTGATTGAAATGGATGTGAAGAACAACAGTTTTGAGAAGGTGAGTAACAATTTTTTTTTCTCCAGGCCAAATTATGGCTTCAGCAGCACCTTTGTTAGTCCCCTATTTTGGCTTGCAAAACCTTTCATTGGTGAGAGATGCAAAATGGAAAGAATCCTGACTGAGCCTTGGTTTTGGGGCTAACAGTTTTAAAAAATCTTTTTATTAGCACATTTTAAGCAAGTTGTGTGTGGAAAATTGACCCAATAAATATGGAACCTATTATGCTGTCTTCACAAGATACAATTCCTTTTTAATAGAGATCGCAATACCAAAAAACTGATTACTTGTGCTACTGAACCTGTTAACTTCCATATTCAGAATCACTTCCTCATTAGTGGTGTTGGGAGGGTGTTTACTAAAGCCATATAAGAAGGGGATTACAATGGTTTCAGGTTAACCATGAAAAAATAGGTTTTTCTAATTTTTTTTTTAAAGCATATGTGTGGATTCTTTTTTTCAGCACCCAAAATAAATCAGGTGGGAGAAAACATCTGTGAAATCACATGGGAGCCTTTACAATCAATGAAAAAAGATTCTATTGTTTACATGCTTCAGCTTTCCTGTGGGAGAGAAGTGGATCAGGTAACTTCTGAAATGTTGTTAGCTATTAATTTAAAAAAAAATTGTAAAGATATTTTTTTCTTTAAGATAATCAAGTCTCTGAATGTTACTAAGCCATGTCTACACTAGCACGCTTACAGTGGCACTGCTTTAAGATAGTTCATATAGCTGATGTATGCTGATGAAAGATCTCTCCCCTTGACTTGACATGATAAAATCACATCCATGAGTGGTGGTGGCGGCTACATTGCAGGAGAAGTCCTGGCAACAGAACACTTTGCACACTATCATTTATACCAGCAAAATTTGTCACCCCTGTGCAACATTGATATTGCTGATGTAAGTGGTAGTGTAGACATGGCCTTCATCTGGTTAGATTTTAAATTGTTGCAATGCATACTGGTGTTTCTTCACTTTCTTCGGCTAGAATGCACTCAAAGTAGCAAATGTGAATCCCATACTCTTCTTTGTAAATGTTTAAATTAACCTGGGAGGTTAGACAGACATGATATGGAGAGTTTACCCAGGGAAAGTGGTGGAGCATTCTTCATGGTGAGTTCTGTGTACATCCCTCTGTCCCCAGCACTTCCCTTAATCTTAAATTGTAAACTCTGGAGCAAGTACTTCCTGTAGGGTAAACCTAGCACACTGTTGGCATTACCTATAGCTGTGGTTTTTTCAGAAGCCAGGCTTGCAGGGGCTACAAATAATTTGTCATCTGTAAAGGAACATTTCACTCATAGTTATCACCTTCATTTTATCACCTTCATTTTAAAGACTATTCACTAGGAAGTGCTTCCAAAATAAAAGCAGAGATTGAACTGGATGGGTGGGGTGGGCTTCCCAGACTACTGCAGGCCTGCTCTGGCAGCACTGTCTATTGTGTCTACTGCTAGGTATTGGGAAAGTGCATTAGATGATGTCTTTTATTATTTACTTTTATTATTTAGGTATACAAGGGATCAGAGACTTCATTCCGTTTCACAAACTTTCAGAAGAACCGTGAATATCGGTTCAGAGTCTGTGCTGGACGCCAGTATCAAGATTCTACTGGATTACAAGAACTGTATGGACCTTACAGTCTCAGTACAGTATTTTCATCTCAAAAACAAGAGTTGGTTTCACAATGTACTAATTCTACAGCTGAACTTGCAACTGATAAGGTGTTACGGGATGACAAGCTTGCTGCTTTTCTTCTTCTTCTGGGGTTTGCAGTCGTTGCTGTTTTGTTTGCTGCTGTTATTCAGTACTTTGTAATCAAGTAGACTATTTAAAGCCTAGTCATTATTCAGTTTTTTATAAAAAAGTTATTCTGAGTATTTATGTTGATTCATTCTAAATTAAATCCTAGTTGGAAATGATGGTATAAGAGATACACATGTTTCCATCTTTGCTGCTGCCTGACATTAAGACTGGGTTGGCAGAAACCTTCCAAATAACACAACTATCATAGAATGGGTAATCCTGGGTACTCTGTAATTGGGGTTAGCTCTTAATAAAATAGCAAAAAATTGCTGCCCTCCTTCCCCCCATAAATACACAGCTTGGCCACTTGGCCAGTTAGAGAAAAGGCTTTCTATGATGTCCTTTGAAGGCAAGTGGTAGGGGATCAGCAACTTTTAATCAAGTATTGTTACAGTTTGGTATACATGAAATACAGCAGCAAAAATTCTTAAGCTTAGAACAGTACTGTACTACAGAATATTGCTAGAGCAAACCACATTTAACATACTGTAGAAGGAAAACACAATATGATACTACTTTGCAGTTATTATAATGTTTGGGGTTCAATAATATTTCAAATGTTAGAGGTGCCAGCATTTTTCGAATTTTAATTAAAAATGCTAGAGATGTAATATACATAGAGTGATTGCATTTCTATGTAATATTGCAAATTGCTCCCCCTTTGTACTTTACACTTGAGTGAAATGCTTCAGCTGCTGGTAAACAACTGTTAGCCCAATCCACATTTTCATTCTCAGTGCCTGAGAACCGTTATTTCCTGTGCATCTGATTGAATCTTTTCAGAATTTTCAGAAAAGGCACAGATTTTGTCTTTAAGAAGAAAGAGTGCATTTATGATAAATGTTTCACTATTGGCTCAAACTGAGCAAATGTTTTCGTACTATTCTTAACCTAAAAATAAAAAGTTCAAACTGCTTTTGGATGATCTTCTGTCCTTATCTGAATTATCAAACTATATGTGAAATATTTTTAGGTAACATTTTACAGTGTTTTAAATTAATTTGTCACAATGGTGGCAGTTCACATTCCATTATGGTGGTGGTGAGAACTTTCAGTTTGCTATGAAACTTTTTTCCAAAACTTGTCATGCATGTCTGACTGTTTTGAGGAATATTTTTGGTGGATATGATGCACTACATATGATTGACTTCCTTGTCAAACATGTTCTTTAGATATCTGAAGATAAGTCTGACAGCTATTGTCTTTTCATCAACTGTTTGGAAAGCTGGAAGACACAGATTTAGATATTTATTTGAAAGTGCGTTGTCTTACTTATTTTGGCATTAAAAGAACATGCCATACAATGTTACAGATTTAATATACTTTGCAAGTGCTACAGCTACACTTCCTGGACACCGGGGTGGTGTATTTGCATATAGGATAGTACTGTTGGGTACAGGCTCATTCTTCGAAAGAATAAAACATCTTAAGGATATTTCTTCTATGGTTGCTAAGTTCAACTTTGAGGCATTGTGTTGCGTTTCAAATGTGGAAATCCTAAATTATGACATAGTATCATTTAATATTCTTAAAAGTAGATTTATGGTGCAATCTGAAATTAACTTTTCAAAAACATACTCTTCTTTTTGTACTCTATTTATTTTGATTTAAAAAGTCCTGGAAAATGTATGTTTGAATGTATTGTTCTACTTGTAGCAGAACTTTAATCATTTGTATTATGGAGTCTCTCTTCAGTTTTGAAAAGAGTTTTATGCAGATATTAGTGTCTTCAGTTTTCCGAAGTTTACAAATATGCCTTTATTTCCTTTCATAGTTTACTTTTAGAAAACAATAGACTGCCTTCAGCAAATTTCTTTTGCCAAAGGATTTTTTTCTTTAACTCATAGACGAACAGAGCAAATCATTTAGTGATTTATTTGGCAATAGCATTTCTGATATGTTTTTAAAATAATAAAGTAGGCTTTCAGAATAAATATTAACTAAAATCATGACTTCCTAGAAAATTAAAATAAAATGCTTCTGAATTGCCACTAAATGTTATTTCCAGAAAATATACTGAAAAGTATAGTGTAATGTAGATTTTATATTGTTTATTATGCATTCCATATTGATGTACCCTAGTGGCATTAACATACTAGGTATTTTCATTTTTCTTGTATTTGTAATTTTGAGATCTCAAACTTATGTTAAAACTGCCATGCATTGTATTACTAAAATGTAACTATCAAATAGATAATATATTTAATACAGCCAATAAAAATACAAAAGTTTTCAAATTTGATATGTATTTGTGTTTTAATGTATGAATATGAGACCTTTCTTCTAGGGCAATCCTGTCATCTGCCAGTCTAGTAGGTAGTTTAGGATGTAGGGAACAGCAACATGGAATTGAGTTGCTTTATAGCTTCAATATGCTATACCTTGAACCTCCAGTATGAGAGAGATGCTCAGGAAGTTCCGAGATGAAACTTGTCATGCTCCATGTGGGAGGGAGGAGTCTGGGTTTGTGGAGGGGATGTAGTTCTCCAGCACCACAGCACAGATTTCCCAAGATTCATATGCAGCTTCCAGTCCCTCTGTGCTGCTCTCCATGTGGCTTGTGCTGCCATTTATGCCTCTCCCTCTCCGCTCCCAGTGCAGTGGAAAAAGCAGGACTCCATACAACTCCAAGGAATCAGGAAACCCACTGAAATTTGTGTAGATCAGCTGTTCCCTGGCTCTGCCCAGCAACAATATGTCCAGAAAGGGAGAAGGGATTATGCCAGATTGGCTGGCTCACTCACTTTCCCTCAAACTATTTTTAACCAAATTGCAATGGAATTTCCATTGCCTAGAATTAGCACTCCCACCCCTTTCCCATGCAAGGTTACAGAGATGCATAAAGGCAAAAATTAAACCTTACCATCTACAAATGAAAAAAGCAAACATGGTGATGCGGTTCTGTTTGCTACAAGCCAGTGTAGAGTAGACCATCCTGTTGGAACCGCTACCTACTATTTTTAACTACTTATTCGGATGAGAAGAAGCTTGTATGACAAAGTGGTGATTGAAAATGGTCTCAATGAAATCAACATTTTGGAAGAAGGGGGGAAAAAGCACAAGCCCCACCTTACTCTATGTAAATGTTCTTGCCTGGAGAGAGTCAGCTCCTTTAGCACTGAGTGATGTGATAACACATACTGCCAGTGTGGTGCTCAGTGACATGTCTTATTTTTCCCTGGTAGGCTGTTGTGCTCTGTCACAACAACAAACAACTTCTTGTGAAATGGTGACAGAGTAATAAAGACAGAATTATTTGATTGCTTTGACATTACATCGATTTCCACCAGGGAAAACTAAACTTGAAGTAATCTGTCCAAACACTACAGATTCAATAGTCCCCTTGAGAATGGCCTTGAGACTAAGGCACTGGAGTGAGTGTCGGATTCCCATCCCTGTCTGTCTCATGCTTCTTGTGGAAACTGAGCAAGTAATTTTCTCTGCTTCCTCCCTCCTCCACCTGCAAACCTGTAACTTTCTTGCTTCCCTCTTTTCGGCCTTTGTAATGGACGTGCATCTTTCACAATCATAACATTTCAGTTTTTTTATTTCCCTTCCCTTTAAGGTTAAATAAACACATAGTTTCAATCCAGCTTGTCTGTTTTGATTAGTTTTCATACATCAAACTTGAATGAGGATGTTGAATAGATTCTGTAGGACCCATAAGCAAAAGCTGGAATCATGTAGGGCTTGGGACAAATCCATTAGAAGATGACAGCTTTGTTGCAAGGTGAAACTGCGCATGCACACAATTGACTGAAGTCCTTGGAGAGAGTGTTGGGCCACTCCAGCTTCTGCAGATAAGTGTCAGGATACAGTCAAAACTAAAACTTTATAATCATTGCAGGACATACTAACTACATCAGTCTGAAACAGGAGGAGTGACCATGATTAATGACGAATTTTGTGTGCACAGCTGGAAGCAGCAAACTTTCCACCCTGAGATGAAAATCCCCACTTACCACATAATACGCACTACTGCCATGACTTGGTTTTAACATACAGTTCACTAGTGGATAGATGGAATCTAGATGTACCCACTGTATTTAAGTGGGTGCCAAACTGTTTACATGACAGAACTGACTTCTGTACCTTCAAGAGAAGTCCTTTCATTCCTTGTCAAGTTTCTGGATTGCCAGACTTGACTGTAGTTCAGAATTTTGCTCATTGCTTTTCTGTATTTTTGTGACATGACATTGTAAAGTATCGGGTTGATAGATGCTCCAAGGTAAAAGAGAAGCATGGAGATGAGATTAAGGTACTGAGTGAAGTCATATAGGACAATTATAGTCTGAGCAAAGAGGATTCGGCCAATGTGGAATGGTAGCCAACACAGCACGAAGGCCAGGACTACTACTGCTAAAAAGGAAAGGAATATATTTTAGTACAGAAATACTTGAAGAACTGTTTGTCCTAGCTCTTTAAATTACATTGTGGCAAAGACCTCAGACTAGTACATGCCATATTAAATGTAGTAGTTGCTACCACATGACTTGTGCAATCATTTCATGTCAAGTAGACATAACACTGCGCTACATATACAAGTAGGCTAAATTAAGCAGCATTGGTACTTCAGCTTTTTGTTTGTTAAATTTCAGGATAACAACTTGGCTCAGTTGTCAGTGAAATGAAATATTTCCCAGGGGAGTGGGCCAATGGTAGCAGCTGGGGAGTGAGATAAGAGGAGGAACAGAATGGCTGCATGGACCCAAACATGGGATGGGGGAAGATGGAAAAGGGAAGTGAAAGAAATCTGGGAAATTAAACAATAAAAAAGATGCAGAGGAGGAAGTGGAGAGGTAAAGCCAGGGAAGGAAGACACCAAAAAGAGGAGAGAAATGTTTAAAAGACATTAGACAAGGAAACAAAAAAAAAGGCCACAATAACTCCGCTGGAAGGAAAAAAATACAGTTTTAAAGTTAGTAGAGTGTTTAATGGATCCATGTTCCTGCCTTTCACTGGATTTTTCCTGAAGAAAATTGGGAGAGTTGAAAAGAGGGAAGATTCCACTTGGAACTCTGTGTAAGGAAGCACTTTTTGAGCTATTCACAGCCATTGGGGGATGATAGAGGATCTGTGAACAGACTGGCTAGGGCCAGCAATGTTTTTCCTCCACTGCAAGCACCAAAAGTTGGTACCTTCACCCACTGAATTTTGCTGACAACAAGCAGTTGGTATTTTGCTCATGTGAGATGAGAGAACAGGCTGAGTGAGCCTTTAAATGTTAACCCAAATAAATAATTTCCTTTTATCAAATTGTGATGCCTGCTGTCTTAGTTGTGACTGGGGATTGAACCCAGAGACCTTCAGCGCTAAAAGACTGAGTCACTCCATCTGGGACATCAGTACTAAATGCTGCTGTGGGTTAAGATGCTTATCCCCAGAACCATACTGTGTAACAGACCACATGCTGACGAGCAGGTTCTGTAATGAGTCAACTAAAATGTTAAACACATTTGAAGAGGAATTAAAGCCAATGTGGAATACCTGATTTTGTTCAGATTGTGGCCCAAATATTAAATGGTCAATGGGAGAACTGTGCGTGGCTGGCATGACACACTACTTCTCAGACCATGATTTCTGAGCGCCGTCCCCTCTTGACACACACAAATCAAGGTTGATCAGATTTGCTTTACAGTAAGTCACAGCAGCATGGTTTCTTTTTACATTAGTCCACAGCAAACTATGGGTTGAAGTGTTTCTACAACCAATCTACACACAATTCAAATGGGGCCCTCAGGCCTCAGTAAAACCCAGGAACATGACAAAATGAAGAGAAATATACTAACCATAAATCTGTAAGGGCCCTTTCTTGCCTTTTCTGTCTTGCCACCCTCTTTCCACCTTTTCTTTGTGTCTGGCCTAGTGTGATATAAAATGCTGTTTAGCCTAGTCTCAAGTCAGATCCTTACCTAGCATTTTGACTGTTTGTTTGTGATACTTTTCTCTGCTTGCCACCTGGGGTCCTCTCATCTTATGTCTGCTTCTCCAAAGTTTTCCACAGATGAGTCCATAGAGCAGAGTCAGGCAGAGCACTGGTAGGAAAAAATAAATGGTGGAGAGCCAAGTCATTGTTTCTAAAAGCCCTGTGCGGGCTGTGTGTTCAATGTAATTGCATTCCTTGGCTTCATCTGACCGGCTGCCATTGCGGTGCTCCACACCAAAGAGGAACAGAACTGGGCTGGCAGTCAGAAGAGCCCATACCCATAAAGAAAGGATGACCCCTTTCACTCTGCATTTAGTGATTGTGGTTTTGGCTTTCAAAGGAAAGCAGATTGCAAAATACCGCTCTACACTCAAAGTGGTGATATGCAAGATGGTGCAGTAGGTACAGGTTTCACTGAGGTAAAACAAAAATTTGCAGAGAAAATCCCCAAATATGTATGGTTTGTATTTCCAAATCCTGTACAAATCAGAAGGCAGACCAAAGAAGATCAGAATGTCAGACAGTGCCATGCTGGATAAATACATATTAACAGTAGTTCTCATTTCCTTGTATCTTTTGAAAATTAATAGTTAGCAAATTCCCAGTGATACCTAAGAAAAATAATATGATTGCAATTATAGTCACAGGCACCAGGACATGAATGTCAAATAAAGAAAAAGATTGATCTTCATAGTAGTCTGTATCATTTTGGAAATAGCTGTAATTTGAGAAGGAATCCATGTCGGGTACCAAAATAAAAGGTGATGTTGGGTTTAACTCATGAGAGTGATATTAGGCTCCTCTTCATCTCTTTTAAAGATCAATTTTAAAACAAAACTCGAAGTCATAAAAACAACTAAGCACTGTTCTGTTCTGAGAGACTATTAGATTACTATACCCAATGTTTTGGAATTTTAAAAAAATACATTTTGATTGTTGGCTTTACGCTGCTTCAAAATAGTTTTTGTATCTTGACAGTTCCATCAGGGGTATTTCTTGAAAGATGAATATGGAGCCAATGTGGATGCAAGTAAATATAATCCATATTAACAGGCAAACAGATGCGGACTGAGAAAATCATTGTTTAAATCTTCAGAAGTTTGCCAGATTAAGAAAAATTTGCAAGTTTTTCTTAACAAAGACGAGCTCCTTTCTAAAGAATCCTCCAAAGCAGTTGGATTTACAGGTGCTCTTTGCCTTGGGTAGAGAGCAGGTGCATGTGGAACTTCATCTTTAACTACTCAGGATCTGAGCAAAACATGTTCTTTGCACTAGCAGGTCCACAGCCAAGTGTAGACTTCTGATGTGTGTCTCAATTTCTGAGGAAAGCATTTGCGGTACTTTGATTGTTTAATGCGCTTCCAATGGAGCATGGACATTACACAGACTTCTCCGTCTTCCATCTACATTCACTTAATTACACATCATTAAATACTTGGGGAGAAAAACAGAGTGGAGCCAAACTTGTGGAAAGTAGTTAGTTACAAGGGAAGTTAAAGCGCTCTTTGATGATGGAAACTTAATGACCACTCAGGACAATTATGAAATTTTCCATTGTATCTAGAACTGCTGTTTATTTAGGGCCTTTTTCACTACACCCCCTTCCCAACATATGCTGTGGCTGAGATGTTTGGACTGAACATGTCTTAATAAGATACTCAAGTTGGTTGGAAAATTTTTTGTTTGGACATTGTCTCATTTTTTAAACCAATGTCACTTTGTCTTTACTTTTCACTTCAGCAATTCACTCAGTAATTATGTATTAAATGATTGGGGGGGTGTTGATGCTGTGCAAAACATAAAAGAAAACAGCTGCTGACTCAGACTTTTAAAGGGGTTTCATTACTCACAGGTGGATGAGAGCCATTATGCTTCATATCCGAGATTTAGTACTCTCCAAATGAAAACAGGGTGCTTCACTGAGCAATCTGCAGGAACTCCTACATTCCTTACAAATGCAAAATGGGGGAGCAGGAAGGAGGGACCTCAGAAGAATGTCTGTCTGTCATTCATTTTCTTCAGAGTTTTACTGCTTTTGATCTGTTCTTGTCCTACAGCCTATGACAGGCACGCTGCTGAAATGTACTGCACAATGGTTCCATTTGAGGATGAAAGGTAAGTACTCAGCAGGGTTAAGTCCTTGAAACTGCAGAGTCAGGCAGAGCACTGGTAGGAAAAAATAAATGGTGGAGAGCCAAGTCACTGGGGTTTGCTTACAGGAAGTGATTTCTGTGGTTTGCAGATGACACTAAGCTTGGGGAGAGGTAGATATGATGAAAGTTAGGAAAAGGGTCCAGAGTGACTGAGACAAATTGGAGGATTGGGCCAAAAGAAATCTGATGAGGTTCAACAAAGATAAGTGCAGAGTCCTGCACTTGAGACAGGAGAATCCCAATCGTTGTTAGAGGCTGGGCACTGACTGGCTAAGCAGCAGTTCTGCAGAAGAGGACCTGGGGATCACAGTGCATGAGAAGCTGGATATGAGTCAACAGCGCACCCTTGTAGCCAAGAAGACTAACAGTACATTAGGGATAGAAATGTAGCCGTGTTAGTCTGGGGTAGCTGAAGCAAAATGCAGGACAATGTAGCACTTTAAAGACTAACAAGATAGTTTATTAGATGATGAGCTTTCGTGGGCCATGTTAGTACATTAGGGTGCAGGATGAGCACTGCCAGCAGATCTAGGAAAGTGATTATTCCCCTTTATTCTGCACTGATGAGGCCATATCTGGAGTATTATGTCCAATTCTGGGCCCCCTATTACAGAAAGGATGTGGACGCATTGGAGAGGGTCCAGCGGAGGGCAACCAAAATGATTTGAGGGCTGGAGCACATGACCGATGAGGAGAGGCTGAGAGATTTGGGCTTGTTTAATCTACAGAAGTGAAGTGAGGGGGGATTTGATAGCAGCTTTCAACTACCTGAAGGGAGGGTTCCAAAGAGGATGGAGAGAGGCTGTTCTCAGTGGTGGCAGATTGCAAGATACAGTGTGGGGAGGGAGTCTAGGTTGGATACTGGGAAAAACTATTTCACTAGGAGGGTGGTGAAGCACTGGACTGGGTTACCTAGGGAAGTGGTGGAATCTCCACTCCTAGAGGTTTTTCAGTCCCAGCTGGACAAAGCCCTGACTCGGATGATTTAGTTTGGATTGGTTCTGCTTTGGGCAGGGAGTTGGACTCAATGGCCTCCTGCCCTAGGATTCTATGATTCTAAGTGTCCCAGTGTGACTTGAGCAGGGGTAGACACAAATGGCTATATTATTAAAGGCACTTAGGTGCCTAAAGATGCAAAGAGACGCCTCGTGGGATTTTCAAAAGTCTAGGAGGGCATCGAACTCTCTTGCTGTTAACAGGAGTTAGGTGCCTGAATAGCTCCTTTGAAGATTGGGATTGAGGCACCAAATGATCTTTTAAGTCATTGGGAGTTAGGCATGTGGGCATTACTGAAAACCCTCGATTCTCAGCCTCTTTGGGTATCTACCTGCCTTTCAAAATCTGTCCCCAAGCCCTCACTGCTTGTGCTGTATACAGCAGTCATGTGGCTAGGAGTTCTTAAAAACAAGCCACCCTAAATCCTGCACAAAGCCTCATTATCAACACTGCTCTAAGAGCAGCTTCCTGAAAAAGGAACAAGTTCTGTTCCAAGCAATGGCCTTTGGATGGTTGTGGAGTTGTGTTGGCTGGGCAGGATTCACGAACACATCAGTGCTGCAGTGGGGTGTTTGCCACACTTGTGCTTACCATTTCCTCTCCAGATGGAAACCTGTTGCCTTTGATAAATCTGCCAGCTCACTGGTGCCAGAACTAGCCATGAGCTGTTCGGCCTCCTGCTATGTAACATTGACCCTGGCTCCTGTTCTGCAGTTATGAATGAAACCTCAATGTCTAGAATAAAACACACAGAAGGACGTGTTTTTCTTCTTCCAATTTGTACAGCACTGCTAAGTTAGCCAAACACATTCATGTATAGGGCTATCAGAAGGGCTGGATGAGTAATTGCCACCCTCCTGTGTAGGTAGTCAGTCTGAATCCAGATCAAGCCTTAGGAATCAAAAGGTGTCATCTGAGGAATACTTGGTGCTTGTATAGAAGGAGTTTGTGGTCTGTCCCAGTGGATCAATAACAACATTGTGAAAAATATTCCCAACCGCTGCCCCATTGTTAGTCTCTACAGAGCAGCACCAGCCTGATGGAAAAATGAACTAATTGTGCATGATTAAAAATGCTCTTTCCAGACCAAGATTGCTCTCCTACCGTTTGAGGATAAACAGGCCTTCATTTTCCAGAGTTGTTAATGCTGGTTGGACCTCCCTGGTCCAGCACATGGCGAGAATTTGCTGGTCCAGAGGAGGTCTCCTGCCACTGGCTCCCAAGCCCATTGCCTGTTGCTGCATCCTGCCTCACTCTCCTCCAACCCAAACCTGGCTGGGCTGCTTGCCCAGCTGCTGCCAGCTTCCTGGCCCCATGCTCCCAGGGGCTGCCAGGGGCTTGACTCCAGCCCCACTTTCCCAGGGGCTGCCACAGTGCCCCAACCCAATGCTCCAGGAAGCTGTCGGGAGACTTTGGTCCCACGCTGTTGCAGACCTCCCAGGAACTGCTGTGGGGCTTCAGCTCTGCACTGACCCCTATTGCCAGGGTACTCCAGCCTGGCCCTGTGCAGCTGCGGGCTGTTAGAGGCTGCCACGGGGCTCCATCTCTGGTCTTGCACTGTCCACAGATGAGCTACTGAACCTATTGCCCCAGCTGGCCTCCCTGCCCTTAGTGTCCCAGGTCTCTGGTCCAGGAGCATCTGTAGTCCTGTTGGATGTTGCAGGACCAGAGAATGCTGGTTTTTGGAGGTACAAGCTGTATAGCCCCTTTCACCAGTACAAGATTCTTGCTATCAGCATGGGGTGTCAGCAATGTATCTCCTCCTTATACAGCATGTTGGAAGTGAATTGCAACATGGCAGGTGCCCTGATTGTCTGCTGTTGATGTAATCCATTGTCTGAAGCTCCATTAAAAACTCCGCTCCATTTTTGGTGGAATAGATATCCCCCTTTCCTAAGAAAAATGTGCTGGTTTTAGTTCAGTGCCTGGGATTAATCTTTTTGAAAGCGGGAGAAAGGTCCCACTATTCAGGGAAACTTCCCTGGCTTCTACGCTACCCAGAGAAATGGGCTGGTGAAAGGATCTGAGTCTCTGCTCCGACTTCCTCTACCCACAGGTCTCCCTGACCTCGAGGCCTCCCCTTCCACTCTCCTGCATGGCAGAGTCCCTGTAACCCCAACAAACTGTGCCCAAGATTCCTGGGGCTTAACCTCCAACCTTCTTGTGGTCACCTAGAACAGGGGCTAAGGTGGCCCCACTCTGGGGTGCTCTCTCCACATTGAATGCTTCCCTGACCCACTGACGATTACCTAGAATCCAAAGCAAATACAATTTATCAATTTTTAAAAAAGAGAATGAGGAAAAAGCGGCTGGAAAACACATTACTCTGCCCTGTGGCACAGCGTCTCTGCAATGCAAGGAAAGTCCATGGTCTGGTCCTCGTAGGTCCCAGGCCACCTTCTCAGGGGTGCTGCAGGTCAGACACTTGCTCTGTGTGGCAGGACCCTTCTCCCCAGCATCAGGCCTTTTGGCTGGTGCAGTCCCCTTGCACTGGGCATCCACCTCTGCTCTCCCCTGCTGCTCACTGCACCCAGCACCAGCCCGGCTCCACTCTCTGCTGTGCTGACACCAGCTCCTAGGCTGCGTCTCTGG